GACTGAGAAAAAAAGGCGAAAAAGTTAGTGAAGTGTATATTAAGTAAATACAGTTCATAATAAAGTTAAAACTGTCTTTTTAAAATTATTCAGAACTGTGTACTGAGTTAGTCATTGGATTACTTAATTATTAAGTTAAAATAATAAATAAACTTTTAACCTTTTTTCGATCTATTAATATGTATTTTTATTTATTTATATTATCATCTTTTTTAAATAGAAAAAATAACACAATAAACAAGAAAGTGGGTAGGTGAAAGTCTTAATGACTAATTGACCCAATCAGGATCTAATGATTGTTTTTTAGTTAGTCACTTCATATTTGGAATAAAAGACAAAAAAAAATATATGTGAGAAACAAAATACTTAACAAATTTCTTTTATTTATTCTTTTGAATTGATTGAGAAAAAAGGCCTTAAGTTAGCCAGATACTTATTTAATGAGTGAACAACTTAACCGTTCAACTTTTCTTGTTGCGCTATTTGACAATTATTTTAAACAATAACTAATTTCCTGTAATAAACATTGAGAACGAGTTAATTTGTCAAACATAAAATTTATCTGTTTTTCAGTGTTAAATTTTTGAACATTTGCCCATAAACCAATAATTGATAATTAGCTCAGAAAACAATAAACTCTGTCTCTGTACTGTTTGTTTAAAAAATTGATCGCTTATTGATTATTTAAATAATTTTTTGTAATGCTATTTCCACATTTTTTTAATTAATTTTTTCAATTACTTAACCTTTTTATGTGAGGTTTTGGTTGAAATGAAAAAGTCAGTGTCAAGAGCGGGATTTGAACCCACGATCTTCGGCTAACCTTACATAAAAAGATTAAGAATTGAAAAAAAAGTAATTTGGTCAATAGACCACTACATATAATGGATTTTTTATTATTATTAAAATAATAAACAACATATAAAGTTAGATTAGATTATTATATTATATAGGAGTCGGCGACTATACGCCCTGTGCACCGCGACCAGTATTGGTCTATTGTGCATGCATACATAGTTATCTGTTATTTAATATTTAATTCCTGCCCTTTAAAAAAAAAAGTTAATTTTCCATTTCTAAGTCTCACAGTAATTCAGGAGTATAATCCTGGTTGTGTTCGTAGAGGATAATACATTCGTAGGGTCAATCGAGAACTTTTAAATTTTAGAAAGCTTTTATAAACTAATGGCATCGAAAAGCAATTTTACCTGGTGGATTTTTGCTTTTCTATAATAACAATGGAAATCACGTCGGCCAGTCCGTTTGGCCATGTGGAGAAAGCAGAGATCACGGCCATTACAACATCCATTAGTAGTCCAAGTCAAGATAGGATATCAGAGCTACCGCCATTAGCTTCAGACCGTGAAATATAAAACGATAAAAGCAGTTCTTTTCAGCAATCCACTCGCCAATATATTATTACCTGGGTATTTAATTCCTATCTCACCCTGTATCAATGATTCTTTCATTTATGCTGTTGGTAAATCATTTTTCAAGATTATTCAAACTTTTGTTGTAACCAATTCCAAAAATAGTTAGTGCATTTATTTATTTATACCTGTTAAACGACAATACGATGTACCAAAACAGTTACATTGTAAATTATTCCATTTCATGTAGTACAGTTTGAACTTAAATCCATTTCCGATCTTACAAAATTAACCTCTTACAACAGAACAAGCAGACATCGGTGATTAACGACCTCTGAAAAAAGATTTTCGTTTTGTCTTATGCTAAATGGTAAAAAAGTGGTGACGGAGTGAAATCATATGAAACAAAACACATAAAAAAGAGACAATGAACATAGCGAACAACAAAGCATGAAAATGAAACAAAACATCTACATTAAACACAGTCAAAAGGAAAAAGAAACAATACAAAAATTGAAAAACCCAACTTTAACCTAATAAAAAAACACAAAAACAGAAAAGTTCAACGTCGAAATCAAACAGAACACATAAAAAAGAGACGTGAAAATCATGAACAATCAAATTACGTTAATTTTTAATTTTTTTTTTTTTTTTTTTTATTTGGTGAAAGTTGGGTTTTACAACTTCTGTACTGTTATTTTTTTTGTCTGTGTTTATCGTAGATATTTTGTCCAATTTTTACGCTTTGGCTGTTCGCTATAATTATTGTCGTTTGTATTTTTATGTGATTTGTTTCATTTTTCTTTCTTTTTATGCTTTTTTTATTAGGTAAAATTTGAGAAATAAATTTTGCCCAGGACAAAAAGCTGAATTACTGCATTAACTCCGTCACCACTTTTTTTTTTATTTAGCACAAAAGCATAAAATTAGTTTTGGTTTCATGTAAGTAAATAAAAGAGTATACCACTAGAGAAACCTTAGTGAATGAAGAAATTGTTATGAAATTTGCCAAGCAGTATCGTGATTTGTTCCAACGGGCTGAAAATTTAGTTTTATTACACATTTTAAACTTTTTGAAAAATTCAATGTTTTTTTTTTAGCCAAAATAAAATTGAAAGTTGGACTTTTCTTTTCTAGTTTTGATAAAAGTAACAAAACTAATAAAAATATTAATTACAATAGCACATTAATAAAATAAAATACTTGAATATATTTAAGAATATGAAGGATAGGTTCATAGTACTTTACAGATATCTCGTCTTGTGTGTTTTTGTATACTAACACTGAAAGTACTTATTAGCGTGAATGTGAAGAGTGTTAGAGCCAAGACAAAATCATTACCTCCATTTAATTAAGTCCAACAATTTTTATTTTCTATTACAATTAAAATTGTAGCCTTAATTATTAATTAAAAGTGTGGTAATTAGTGACCGTTAATCGATAATTATTCATAAATCGTGAGATGCGGTCTGGTGCGATGTAGGTTTCAGAAAAACATTTTCTTTATCGTGCCAAAGTTTCGATCTTTATTGAGAGCATCTGCAGGGCCTGAGATTTACAAACATTGTTTACATTTAACAAATACATGGAATGTGGAAAAAGTGAATTTATACAATGCAAAATATATTTTTTATATTCAATCAAAGTATTTCTACTCACTCAAAGTGTTATACAAAACAATACATTATAGCCTTATACAAAAATGTCTTTTCTATACCGACTTCCTTCCCCACCCCTTCAAAATCTAACATATATAAACATAAAACAGCAATATCTCACTGGCATTCTCAACACGACACGCAACGATGGCACAATTACACAGAAGACAAACACTTTGAGTGAGCAGAAATACTTTGATTGAATATAAAAAATATATTTTACATGGTATAAATTCAGTTTTTTCCACATTCTACATGTATTTGTTAAATGTAAACAATGTTTGTAATTCCTAGGCCCTGAAGATGATCTCAATAAAGATCGAAACGTTGGCACGATAAAGAAAATGTTTTTCTGAAACCTACATCACACCTGACCGCATCTCACGATTTATCAATAATTAAATTTAAAGTTAAATAAAGCATTGATCTGTATACCGAAATTTCCCCCTCTTCTACCCACCGTGATTTGCAATTTATTTAAATTGACCCTCAAATTACATTTTTTTGTAATATTCTTCTAAATCTAGTAACATAAAGAGAGTGCATATGAGGAAGATGACGATGCCATCACAATGTCATCAGTGAAAATCAATGTTTTTATTTTACAATTATCGATGATTAGTTTGTCTGTTAAATTAGCTTCTAGATTGTTTAAAAATATCGAGAAGAGAATAGGACTAAGCAAACATCTCTGCTTTACCCAATCCTATAATAAAAAGCCTTTGACAGCTTTGACAAATGAATAATCAAAATGTACATATGAAAACTGCCACTAAATGGACCACATTCACATACAGAAGGAATGAACAAACTAACAAATCAGGAATTAAAACAGCACTGAAGATGAAGAAAATAATTGGAAAATTACTAAGGCAAAACGTTGACAATACCAACCCACACAAGATAAACGGCTTGGGACCCAGTAACCTTGTTTTATGTACCCAGCACCAGCTAATAACAATTGAATTTAATGCACTAATGGCTGGCTATCCGACATTAGATAGCTGTCCTTGTTTTTGTATCCTTTATTAAAATTTAACTGAGTTCTTCTCTCAACTGCACTGATTTCGGCTTGATAGATGCTGGTGTACTTTCACAAGTGCTCTGAGTATTTGGTTCCGGGATCACTCTCCAGCCTGCTACCTTCTTGTGTTCTAAATACAGCTGTATACTAGCAGTAATAGTTTGCAGTTAATAATTAATATTTGTATTTTCCTTTTTTCTACTTTTTTGGTATTCAGATTTTTTCCAGATATCTAGAAGTTTTATTTAAATTCAAACATCCCGTACATGTTGTCCCTAGGGTGTGGGGTATAATAGTGAATAATAATAATTGACCAAACAGTATTATCTATATTTGTTTTTAATGGCCTTTTCTGAGCTTGCAGGTTGTGTGAAAAAAGGACCAGGGGCGACGATGGGAATTGAACACATGACCACAGGTTCTACAAACCGAGAGTCTATCATGCTTATCACTTGGCTACTGCACTCCCAATTTTTTTTTTTTAATTCATTTAATGTTTCTAAAACTTTTTAGTATTTTTTAAAATTATTTTTAAACCCAGCACAGAAGATGGTGACAAAGTGAAATGCATCTGATAGAACAAAACATTACAAATCATCGTCACCCAGACTCAAGGGGTAATTTCACAATTTAAGAGTGAAAGCGTCGCAAAATAGACAGTAGAATTAGTCGTGGGCAAGGTCACAATAGCTGACCATCAATGCCATAAAAAAACAAATTCTTGGCCACTAAATTTAGTAATAAGAGAATAATACTAAGAAAGAATTTATTATATTTATTATTTATATAATAATNTTCATATTATTTGCAAATTAACAAAAAGATGACACTAGTCGGCAGTGGTTCATCTCAGAATGTCTCCCTTTTTCTCTCTTTCATCCAACTTGGAAGTATTTTTCTTCTATCTTTCTTGGCTATCAAATAGGTCAATTGAAATCAGCACAAACATTGAAAAGCAAACATTATTTATTTTCAAAGGCGTTATAAACGATAACACAAAAATATAGTATTTGTTATTTTCCCAAGTTCAATAGAATACAAAATTAAGTTTTGATTTTGGTGCTTTTGATTTTAGTTTGGAACGTGGGGGTTGTTTAATTTTAATTTATGAATTTTTCTGATCCATGCTGACAAAAGTCGTTTTCACTTCAGTGTAAGCGGAAAGCCCATATTCTCCCAGTTCCCTGCCATGGCCAGACATCTTGTAACCTCCGAACGGTGCTTGTGGAGTTAAGACGTTGTAACAATTTACCCTAGAAGAAAATAATTAGATGTAAAAACACTGTCAACTTCAATAGAACCATTTTTAACCAAACTCGGCTCTACTGAAATGATTTCAAGTTAAAAAAATGGTGTGTTATTGCGAAATGTAGCTGCTAATTAAATTAATTAAATCCAAATCTAAATTCATGAGCACAGTTGTTAGTGTCCAACTGAAAGACAACAAAGCTAGCTAATCATATAAAAATTAGAAGTTTTCTGGTTTACATTTCGGCTACTGTACTTCATATTTTTATGTAAAATACATGGATTGCTCTATTTTAATTGGAAATTGTTTTTTAAGCTTTTTACTGCGAAATGGCTATATCCCCCCCATAGTTCGGGGGGGATATGATGTAACTGATCAATTATCAGAAATATCAAACATATTTTGTTAAAAGCATATTACTAGATACATTATCTAAACTGGATCCACAAATAACAATTTTTTATTTGATTCCTATTTTGTAAAGATTTTAAAATATTTATTGATTATACGTTGATTTTTGTTTACCAAACAGTTCCTGCTCTGAGTGCTTGACTGACTTTATTTACAGTGTCGACATTTTTTGAAAATACTGCCGCAGCAAGTCCATAATTAGAGTCATTAGCCCTGTCAATCACTTCTTCTACGTCTTTAAACTTCAAAACTTGTTGAACCGGTCCAAAAATCTAAAAAAGAAAAATGTTATTTGGAATATATGTATTGAATTTAAGCTAAATGCCGTACTTCTTCCCGCGCAATAACCATGTCGTCTTTTACATTTGAGAATATTGTCGGTTGGATGAAATATCCCTTGGTGCCTACACGTTCACCTCCAGTGACGAGGTTTGCACCTTGTTTTTTCCCACTTTCAATGTATGAGAGGATTTTATTCATTTGTTCTTCGTCAATTTGAGGTCCATGTTCGGTCTGTGGGTCAAACGGGTTGCCAACTACCCTTTCCATTGCCTTCTTCTTGCTCTTTTCAATAAATTCATCATACACTTTTTCATGAACATAAACCCTCGTTCCAGCACAGCAGCACTGGCCCATGTTGAAAAATGTGCCAAAGTGAGCGCCTTCGACCGCTTGGTCCATATCAGCATCGTCCATTATTATATTTGGTGATTTTCCTCCAAGCTCGAGTGTGATTTTTTTAAGATTGGTATTTCCTGAAGCCTGAAGAATTAATTTTCCAACCTAAAAATAAATAAAAAAAGTTAATTCAATACACAACGGCTTACAAAGAATTTTCTTACTTCAGTTGATCCAGTAAATGCAACTTTATCGACATCCTTATGATTAGCTACTGCAGCTCCAGTGTCACCGAAACCAGTCACAATGTTGACAACACCATCAGGCAGACCAGCTAATTTGCAAAGCTCAGCAGCTCTTAAAGCGGTGAGAGGAGTTTGCTCAGCTGGTTTAAGTACTACGGTGTTTCCAGTAGCAAGGGCCGGAGCGATTTTCCAAGCCCACATCAACAATGGAAAGTTCCAGGGAATGATCTGGCCACAGACGCCAACTGGCTCATGACGTGTGTAAGAGAAAAAGTTACCATCGCATGGAATGGTCTTTCCATGAATTTTGTCAGCCCAACCTGCGTAATACCGGAGAACTGAAACCGCAGATGGAATATCACTTGAATACGCCATGACATAAGGTTTCCCATTATCTAACGTTTCCAGGCTCTGAAACATAAAAATAATAATAAGATGAAACAATTACTCAATGAATATTGTCCACACATGGTATACCAGAATATGAAATCAGGCATAATATGCTGAAATGTACTTTCCCAAATGTATAATTACAATATTTATGGTAGGTTAATTAAATTTATTACTATGATGTCACACAAGTCTTTGTGCATGAAATTATTACTAAATCAGCATCAAGTATTAATTTTTGTTTGACTGTTTTGATTAGATCATTGTTTACATGTTCTAAGTACTTTGCACCAGTTTGCAAATCTGCACATTATTGTCTTAGTAGGAATGAAAGTCGGTGCCTTATCTCTCCCTGCTTATAACCCTAACATCATGCCATTTGAATATGGCTTTTCCTGGTCAACATTTTTTTTTTTTTTTAATTAAGATGCAAGGAGCCTGTATTTGTCATAAATTGAAGGTGTGTAGAAGGAGTGGAATAGGTGCAAAATTGAATTGCTGGATAAATAGAATAAATAAATATATATTTTGTATTCTGGATGGGTAAATATATAATTTGTGTTTTGAATAGTTTTTAATAAATCTGTTTTTATGCACAAGGACATTTGTTACAATGTACATTTGAAGCCACCTTCCTTACCAGAAAAGTAAAATAATTAATAATTTACGTGTTTTTATTTTACTCATATAAATTGAAAATATTTTGATTAATTTTCTGATTTTCAGTAGGGGGATATAAAACAGTTTTAGATATACTAACAGCCAAATAAACGTGGTCTTTTTCCATGAGATCTGCCAACCGGTGCAAAATAGCACCACGTTGAGATGCATTCATCGTACGCCATGGTGATCCCCTGGCAAAGGCTTTTCTGGCCGCATCCACTGCCATATCAACATCATCCTAAAATTTTAACATCATTTTATTACATACATACATCGGTTTTTTATGGGGCTGGTAGAAAATATTCAATTTAGATTATCATTTCAATAAACTTCAAAAGTTACTTGTTTATTACCTTGTTACCCTTGGCCACTTGAGTAATTGTTTCTCCTGTTGTTGGGTTCAAAACAGGAAATACTTCTTTGCTCGCAGATGGAACCCATTGGTTGTTGATAAACAGCTGAAAATGATACAATGTACAATTAATTATATATGTTAAAACACTTAAAAATTGTATAATAGTAGTATATTAGATAAGTGTGATGACAGGCAAAATAAATTTAAAAATATTGACAATATCTTTGATTGGATATTAAAAGTTAAAGAAACTCTCCATTTTTGTTTTTAAAATCTTTCTTTTCCATTTCTACACACAACTCGATGGTTTTCAAAAAATATATCCATTTTTTTTGCTATCCGGTGGTCATCTAACATGTCATAGATCATCATTGATGGAAAATGGAAGTCCATATAAACTTTCAGAATTTTATCAAAAAAGTTATTGAACATTACATTATATGAAAAGAAATAAATAAACAATACAACATGAAAATTCCGTCTGCCAGAAGATGGCCTTAGCAAATGCATTCTTGTTTACATGGTTTACTGATTGATAAAACAATCTTTAAGCATAGCAGAATGGAAGAGCATAATGCTATGTTTTGTTAATCAATACAAAAGAAAATAAAAGAAGAAAACAAAGCATTATTTACTTCCTTAAATTCACTAATTTTGTGGTCCACTTGACCAATTAATATATTACAATTAATTAAGGTTTTTAGTTGAGATAAAAAAGTCAATGGCACGAGCGGGATTCGAACCCACGATCTTTGTCTTGATATGCCGCTGCTCTACCACTTGAGCTATCGTGACCTCGATCCACTCGGACACCAACTTCCCATCTCAACCGAACCTTTTGAATTTTCCCTCCTTTTTGCCATTTTTCAAATATCGTGTAATTGGGTTGGATTCTCGATGACAAATGAAATGGCCACGGAGAGCTTTAATTTTTAATCATTAAATTCACTAATTTCGTGGTCCACTTGGGAAGTTGGTGTCACGATAGCTCAAGTGGTAGAGCAGCGGCGTATCAAGCCGAAGATCATGGGCTCGAATCCCGCTCATGCCATTGACTTTTCTATCTCAACTAAAAACCTTAATTAATTGTAAGCATTATTTACTGTTTATTTTGACTACAATAGGTCCTAATTAAATGTAACTAACATAGAAAGATAATGGACTTAACTTTAAACTAAATCAATTGAGTGGTGCATTAAATTTGTTTGTCAATGTATATATACTTGTATATATAGAATTATAGTGTATATAGAATTACACACACTCACACACATATATTTATTGTATTTACACATATACATATATAATAATTGCAAGAAAAAAAAATAGATTAAAAGAAAAATCTTTCCAAAACAAACAAATGATGTATGGTCTACAGCAGTACAACAAAAAAGGGCAAAAATATATCCCTTGTTTGCTTTCCTTAAAAATTAAATTCATGTACCAGATCTTTTCTGTAAATCCAAGCTCACCAGCTTGGTGTATTCAACCAGTGCGCCTGAGCAAATCCAGCACACTTATGAGGAAGTTCTGCCTAGACAATACACTGAGTCCGAAGAATTACTTTCTGTAATATGAAAGGATAGGGCAAATCAAATTGAAGTGGAAAGTGTCTTTTTAGATTCAAAGAGGTCTTCCTGTTTGATATACAGGTTTAGCTGTCCTCCCCTTAACTTTAGTAATCATCCAAATAGAACTTGTTTTCAGACTTTACTTATTTTCATCCACATTTGGGTTAAGTTCTATGCACAGCATACAACGATGAGAGTTCACATCCCTGGACAGTACATCCTTTCCTGATGAACCCTTTACATTGTTGAAGAGGAACAGGTTTATGGTCTTGAACGAAGTTACAAACTTATGCAAACAATTCGCCGAGCTTTCGCAACATACAGTCACATCATCAGGGCCTGAATTGATCAAAACCTTTAAAAACAGAACCCTTTACAGCTCTTATCAAGGAATGAAGACTGACTTAAGACTTTTTTGGGGTCACTAAAATCGAAACAAGTGTCAATAGTATTAACAACATTTTTGTGGTAAAGTTATCCATGCTGAAGCCCAAAATAACCCTTTCCTCCATACTTCGTACACCATGATCTTTGGTAACCCATAGGATAATAATCTTAATATTTGAGTCTTGAGAGAATAAACAAAAATTGGATCCAACTCATGTCACTAATAAATCTAATAATAAAGTGAATATGTAAGAAGAAAGCATAACAACGAAATATTCAGGCTATAGGTGGTTTTTATCCTATTTTTATCACTGGGCAAACACAAGATAAGCGTTAACCCAGGTAATTTACACATGACCCCTGATTCAACAACTATTACAACCATTATCCTTATCTATTACCTTAACAATTGAGAGCTTAAAAATATCTTTTTTATTTTATTTTCCAATGTATTTTTTCCTTATATAAATTTAAAACTGATTGAAATGTAAAATATTATTATATTTTAATATGCAAAAGTTTAAATTTGTATAAAGTTAAATAAACATTTCAAGCACACCAAAATTTAGGCGGAAATGGTTATAAATTAAAAAAACAAAGAACAAACCCAATGCCTTGAAAGAAAGTAGTTTAAACTGGTTGTAATCCAAGGACAGAAGGAAAGGGAAGGGAAACCGATACTTTTTCGACGAAAAATAGCGATTTCCTTATAAAGCACCAGCTCTTAAGAGCTTTAAAGGATTAAATTAACATATCAAAGGAAGCTAGTCGAGGATCAAATGAATCACAACTAAGCACAAAGGATAAAAAGGGAAAAACATCCTTTGTGTGGAATGCAACAATTCCTTCTTATGAGAAAACCGAGTCATTTTGTTAAGAAATACATTTTGTTTTGCAACAATTTGTTGAAAACTAAGCAAAAAAGGCAAGATAAACAAGGCCTGTTTTATATTAACATTTAACATAAAACTTTCCTAAAAGTCACATTGTAAAGCACTGTTATCAATAATTGAATAGTATTGGTTGGGCAATAAAAGTAATGTCATTTCGCAATTATTTATAATTAGCTAAATATTTACATTTTTGTATATATTTTCTTGTCTACAAATATGGTTGTTAACCCTAAATTAAGTGAGTTTATTTTAACTTCTTTAGTTGTTAAATTTGTTATCATATTCACATGTAATAAAACAAAAGAAGTAATAACTTATTCAAAAGAAATCTAAACTATTCATTTTAAATGCCTTAAATTTGTTGGTAATTATGAAGCATTTCCAAAAGTGTAATAAAATGAAAGAAGTAATGACTTATTTGAAAGAGTAATGATGACAATCAATGACACATCCGCACATATTTCATTAGTAAATTGATTAACATTACAAAGTATAATAAAATCAATTTGAAATGCCCTTGATTTGTTAATAAAAATTATGAACCATATTTGAAAAAGTAATGAAACAAATTCATTAATTAATGATGTATTCAAAAGAGTGACTACTACATCAACACACATCTGCTGATAATTTCAAAAGTAAAGTGTTTAATATTCTAAAGATTATATAAAAATGAGTTTGCAATTTCTTAGATTTGTTAATAAAAATTATAAAACAAGTCACCAATCAAAATTATTCAAGTATAATTAAACGAAAGAAGTAATAACTTATTCAAAAGAAATCAATGATTACATTCAGTGACATATTTGTTTCAAGTGTCATTAGTAAAATGATTGTTATTCTAAACAGTAACATAAAAAATAAAATTTAAATGCCTATATTTGCTAGTAAAAATTATGAACCATATTCCAAATTGTAATAAAACAAAAGAAGTAATGACTTATTCACAAAATCACAATGTTGATATTCAATATAAATAAGTGCAATATAAAAAAATAATTTTATTTAGCTTAACTTGTTAGTAAAAATTATGAACCATATACAAAAGTGTAATAAAGCGAAAGAAGTAATGACTTATTTATAGGAGTAATAATGACAATCAATGACACATTTGCACAAATTTCATTAGTAAAATGATTAAAATGACAAAATATAATACAAAAATCAATTTGAAATACCCTAGATTCTATTATTCCTCCCTATTAAAAATTATGAGCTACATTTAAAAGAGTAATAAGACAAAATAAATAAGTAATGACCTATTCAAAAGAGTGCAATGATTACACTGAACAACATTTTCCTCAAGTATGAGTAAAAGGTTTAATGTTCTAATCAGTAATATAAAAAATGTATATTAAATCCTTTAATTTGTTAGTAAAAATTATGAACCATATTCAAAAGTGTAATAAAACAAAAGAAATAATGACTTATTTAAAAGAGAGAAAGAGTAATGGCTGCGATCAGCAACTTATTTACTTCAAATTTGTTAAGTAAAATTCTTTATCAACATTCAAAAGTACAATACATAAAAAATCAACTTATAATACCTTAGATTTGCGAAAAAAATTATGAATAAAAATTACAATATAAATAAGTAATGACATATTTAAAAGAGCACAATGAGTACACTCAACAACACGTTTGTGCAAAGTATGAGAAAAATGTTTAATATTCTAAGAAGGAATATATAAAACGTAATATATAAAAAAAATTAAATGCCTTAAATTTATTAATAAAAATTATGGATTGTATTCAAAAGTGTAATAAAAGAAAAGAAATTATTGCCATTCAAAAGTATAATACAATAAAATCAAATTGTAATGCCTTAGATTCGTTAATAAAAATTATGATCCATATTCAAAAGTGCAATACAACAAAAGAAATAATGACTTATTGAAAGGGGTGACAACTGCAATCAGCGACACATTTCGTCTAAATTTCTGTAGTAAATTTATTAACATTGAAAAGTGTAATAAAAAAAAATATATTTAAAATGCCTTGGATTCGTTAAAAAAAATTATAAATCATATTCAAAAGTGTAGTACAACAAAAGAAGTAATGACTTATTGAAAAGAGTGACAACTGCAATCATTGACACATTGGGTCCAAATTCCTTTAGTCAAATTATTACCATTCAAAAGCATAATAAAAAAATCAATTTAAAATGCCTTGGATTCGTTAATGAAGATTATAAACATATTCAAAAGTGTAATAGAACAAAAGATATAATGACTTATTGAAAAGAGTGACAACTGCAATCAGCAATGTGTCCAAATCTCTTTAGTAAAATTATTAACATTCAAAAGTATAATACAAAAAAAAAATTTAAAATGCATCAGTTAATATTAATAATACAATAAAACCAAATTGTAATGCCAGAGATTCGTCAATAAAAATTATGAGCCATATTCAAAAGAGTGAAACAAAGTAAATAATATAATGGCATGTCTTAAATTTTTGGCAACATTTATTTCTCTGAATCAGGGATTTTTCCTTCTCCCTAAAGTGACCCCCAAGTAATAAGAAATAACAAAAAAAACCATACTTAAAATTATTTATATTCATAAGAGTAACAAATGAAACAGAAAAAATATAATTTATGCCCCCTTTTATAGTAAAATCGTTAATTTAAAAAGAAAATAGAATATAGACAGTATTACTTCATGGTCATGTAAAATTGTATTTTACACAAAAGAGGTTTGATCAGGTAATGCCATAATGACTGATCATTAACAATAGACATATTCAAAAGAATAGCTGGCATGATTTAATTTAACGGCTATATTGTTACAAAAATTGTGACATATTTAAAGAAAATTATACTAAAGGGCGGTTTTAGCATTCGTGGAATTGTAATTAGCATATTTTTTTTTTAATTAATGGTTAACAAACTGGGCATAACGGGGAAAACAATTAAGACGATTAGCCAAGCATATCGAGCCAAACAATGATAGCCGGTTGAAAGAAGACTCATTATGTAGGCTAATTTAATTATGTTATCTCATTCGTCGCATTAACGTTAGAAACGATTAAAAAAATATATACATAATCACCTGAGTGTGCTGTATTTTAGGTTGAGTCTGGGGCGCCGGAAGAGTGAAATGTCTCTTGATTATGCTGCTTCGTACGGCCTTCAACATGACTTCGTTTGTGTTTGTACGATTGTCGACTTCTTGCGACTGGTTGACTTCTGGTGTTGGCGACTCGGTGGAACCTTTGATCGTCGGGGAGGTGCAGCGGATCTCTATTCAACAAAATCCACCGACACAAACAAACCGAAAGTTTTTCCTGATCGTGCACAGAATGCGCGTGCTGTCCTGAACTACTGAATCTGGCTTCTGAATGGGAATCGAAACCGTCTCTTCAGAGGTACTCGATCTGGTGACATACTTCTACAACGACCTTCACTCAATTGATCTCTGAAACCTTTTTTTTAGCGTAAAACTTATTAAAATATAAAGCAAATACAAAAAATATGCAATTGGCACCAGCTGGTTTCATTCCTTATTAATACTTGCCAACTGGTTAAATATATCGTACACAACATTGTGCTAATATATTATGTAGATGCGAGTGTAAGGAGAGTGAGAAAGTTTCAAATTGTTTTGAGGTAAAATCAATATTATATGTAATAATAATTTCAAGAATGGTGGAACAGTTAAGAAAAATAAAGGAGTAATTATTAAACAAAACATCACCGAAGAAATTAGTGTTGCGATGGATGCGTTTTGTTTAATAAAAATTTGTGAGAGAGCGAACGAGATAGACAAATAGATGAAATTATAGATAGATAAATATGATAAATATAGAGGAGAATGAGAAAAAAAAGAGAGAGAGAGAGAGAGAGAGAGAGAGAGAGAGAGAGAGAGAGTGAATGAGCGATATGAGAGAGGGAGAACGAGTGAGAGCAAGAGGGGGGAAAGAAAGAGAGTGAGACAGTGGGAAGGACGGAGGTCGGGAGAGATTGATTGATTTGTTTAGTTTGACTTAATCATGGAAAGTTAGGTCTCATGGATCTTACTTCCATTTAGTGAGAGTGAGTAAGAGAGAGGGAGTGAGAGTGACGGTGGGAATGAAGGAGGAGAGAGAGAGAGAGAGAATGAGAGAGAGAGAGAGAATGAGAGCGGGAGAACGAGTGAGAGTGAGAGGGGGAAAGAAAGGGAGTGAGACAATGGGAAGGAGGGAGAGATTGATTGATTAAAACGTTTTATTTATGCAGGCAAAGTTAGGCCTCAAAAAAAGTTTTGGCTGAAGTTTGAGATAAAGAAGGACCTATAGAATTTAATGATGTTGTAAGAATAGATGTATTTATAAATAGATATATAGATAGGGGAGAAAGAGAGAGAGAGAGAGAGAGAGAGAGAGAGAGAGAGAGAGAGAGAGAAGTGAGAAAGAGATACAGAGAGAGGAGAGAGAGAGAAAGAATGAATATTGCAATCTGTCTCTCTGTAATATTAAAAAAGTTTCGGCTCAAGTGTGAGATAGAGAAAGACTTATAGATTTTAATGGTGTAGAAAGAGTAGATACATTTATAAATAGATATATAGATAAATAGATAGATAGGGAGGGGAAAAAAAGAGAAAGACAGATATAGAGAGAGGGTGAGGGATAGTGAGAGAGAGAGAGAGAGAGAGAGAAAGAATGAGAGATAATCACCCTATGCCTACTACGGTAGTCCAGCGGCCTTCTCCAGCGTTGGTTGACTTTTTATAACAAACACGTACCCTCCAGATGTGTACATTCATGTATAGGCTACAATTAGATATTTAAAAAAAATATATTGGTAGGATAATTAACTGAAATAAAGTAATTCATACTTAGGAAAAAAAACTTGTAAGGCAAGTCGTACTTGGATATTCACTTAAATACAAAGATCAGATAATCAAAAACACTTAGTATAAAATATATTTGACACACCAACATCAACATTAATCATTTGTCATGAAGACAATGACCCTGCGAAAACGTTGGAGACGTCGTTCGTTCAAAAGAGATCGACGATGACCTCGTCAACCAATTCCAATCGCCTACCAAAATGTCCTTATACAGAACTTTTTAAAACAATGAAATTGACATGTTATATAAGCCGATTATAGAAGGTTAAGCGAAATAGCCTTTAAAATGCATGAAAAATGAAAATAAAAATAAAGCATAAATAGGGGAAACAGGTTTCTAGAAAAGTTACTTGATCCATTTTTTCAGGTTCAAATAAATTTTAAAACAAATTACATTATTTTTTCGTGCAGCCATTATTAAAATCCTAAACTTCTCTGTTTCTGCGATTTCAAGCCGCAAAGTCGCTCAACCGCTTGCTTACTCCTTTTCCATGAAAAAAAATAAAAATTTTACACGTCTTCAAATAAATAACTGTTATATTATTTAAATAAATGTTGTTTAAGTGTACTGTTTAAGAGAGCGAATAATAAATAAAAATAATGTACCACTGATGATTCGATTTTCCCTCCGATGAACATTTATTTCTGATTTTCTGCAAATTATATAAGTACAAAATCAAAATTTAATTGAAACAAAATGATTTTTTAGTACATACTTACAACTTTAAACTAATTATTTATGGCTTGAGTTAAAATAATCTGATAAATGGTTTCGGGGTTGCATGCATACTTGCGCGTTTCGCTTAAAAGCTTGTATTTTTTTCTGTCATGTACTATTATATCGGATATTTAAATGTTATAAAAAACATAAATTTAATTTTATTCTAAACGAAACAGTGAACCGATATCGTTATGGCAATGAAATTCCGTTTTGGTTTTCCCAGTTGAAGAGATTTTGGATAATTTCACGTCAACTTGTACATTACGTGCCTGAAAAATTTGTCGTAACATTATGCCGAAAATTAATTAATCTTGTAATTTTACAAGTCAAAAGATTTACTGAAGTTGAGGCACAGCTCACGTTATAAAGTTAGTCAATTGGACAATGCAGACCAAACCAGCAAGTTTATGAGGGCCAGATAATTTTGGCTCAAAGGTTTCGCAGATCATGGACAATTTCCACCGTTGTCCATGGCAATATTTCTCTGTAAAAAAAATCGGTTACAATATTTTCAAAAATAATGGAAAATCAAATATATAATTAGAAAATCATACTTTTTTATTATTGCTCCTGGTGTCCTTCTGTAATGGTCCCATTTTTTTATTTGCCTAGCCAAATCAGAAAAATCTTTTCGATATTTTCAATTGGTTTAACATATATGAGAATCGTATACGCATATTAAAATCTACTTCAATTTTCATTTTCTGACATTTCATCGCCGGAAATTTCGACTGACTTTCATAAAAATCGAGAGAAATTCCTTGGTCTGAATATTTAATTTTGTTTTTAATAGCAAATTCGTTGAAACCTCAGTTTGACCTTTGTTTCTGGTTATCTATGCAGTATTTTTTTTACTGTATGTTTCATCTTAATTTTTTTAAATAATTGCGAATTATCTTTTACAGATTTACACAAGTCATTATTACCGACTCGACTTCAATTATCTTTGAGTATGACCGATAAGAAGACTTTTTTTATAATATTTTATATTTATCAGCAACATTCCAGTTATATGTATAAAAATCAATTAGTAATGTGGATTTTGATCAACACAAAATAGAAACTTAAAATTTTAAATAATTCCTTTGAGCAGTTTAGGAAAACTGTATTTTGATTGTCTTTATAAATGAAATCTAGGGTAAAGATTTATAACAATAAATTCTGACAAGTTTTCAATAGTGACACTATATTGACCAGATCTAAAGCTCTAAAAATGTAACTTTTAGGAACACAATTACCAAAATTATCACAAATGTTTTTTAACATACATGTTAACACCAACATTATCGTGGAAAATGTCCAAAACCCTGGGTCAAATTGGGACCGATTTTGACAAAATTTGTTATTAGAATTATTGCACATATTGCTAAAACCAATTCGTCCTTCTATGAAGGACAAGAATCAAAAGGACTCGTTGAATGCTGGTTCTTCCCTTGTGTTTAGGCAAGCGACAATGATATAAGTTAAATTCGGTAAAATAAAAAAATAAAAACCTGTAAATTTAAATGAGTTATTTAATAATCATAAACCAAACATTATAGAGAGAATTTTCTTTTATGTTCCTTTTTGAATTAAACAGCGGTGAGAAGTTGAGCAACTGCTGCGACGAAAGCTGGCACGCAGAAATCACAACGACGACGAACTGAGGACTGCGAGTCGTACTTGTGAATGCCGGACTTTCTTTCATGTAGACGAGTGAGAAGTAAAAAACCCAGTGGTTTTAGTGAGCGGCTCGAAATGGATAAATCGAAAATTTGGAGTGAGCAGAGCAAGAAAAATAAGCAGCCTGTGTAAGTGGGACTCGCAAAAATGTAAACATGCACGTTTAACAACAAACCTCTTTGAGAAGCTGACATCGGTCCATATATGATAAAATAGTAAACGAAAATTAAATTGATTTTTAAGCCCTAATAACCTGGGTTACAAAATTAACAAACAAATTTTCGCCGACACTTCCCAGATTGTACCACTTCAGTGGCGTGCTGTACAAAAATGGACCCAAATTTCTATCAATTTAGTTGATAGTCAACTCAAAAAAATACTTCAGAAATGATCCTGACAATATTAGGAAAGAGGTAAAATAATATAATAATTGTCCTCTAATCAGCGACACATTTGGTCTAAATTTCTGTAGTAAAATTATTAACATTCAAAAGTTAATATAAAAAATCAATTTAAAATGGCTTAGATCCGTTAATAAAAATGATGATCCATATTCAAAAGTGTAATACAATAAAATAAATTATGACTTATTGAAAAGAGTCACAAGTGCAATCAGGAACACATTTGGTCCAAATTTCTATAGTAAAATTATTAACATTCAACACTATAATACAAAAAAATTTAAATGCATCAGTAATATTAATAATACAATAAAACCAAATTGTAATGTCTTAGATTTCTTAATAAAAATTATGAACCATACTCAAAAGTGTAATAAAAAAAATCAATTTAAAATGCCTTGGATTCGTTAATAAAAATTATGAACCATATTCAAAAGTGTAATACAACAAAAGATATAATGACTTATTGAAAAGTGTGACAACTGCAATCAGCGACACATTTGGTCTAAATTTCTTTAGTAAAATTGTTAATTCAAAAGTATAATAAAAAATATCAATTTAAAATGCCTTGGATTCGTTAATAAAAATGATATACATATTCAAAAGTGTGATACAACAAAAGATATAATGACTTATTGAAAAGAGTGACAACTGCAATCAGCGACACATTTGGTCTAAATTTCTTTAGTAAAATTATTAACATTCAAAAGTATAATACAAAAAAATCACACAAAGACAATAGAATCCTCTCCGGATTGCACGATTTCAGTGGTGTGCTGTACAAAAAATAAGCCAAAATTCCATCAATTTTGTTGATAGTCAACTCAAAAAAATGCTTCAAAAACGATCCTGACAATATTACGGAAGAGATGAAATAATATAATAATTGTCCTCCAATTGGATTTCTATTATGTCATTATATAATTCGGTTAATTAATTAGAGATATGCCCATAAAAATGATAAAAATATAATATAATTCCTACACAAGAAGTGTTTGTCGCTAATGTTAAAACAAAATTGAGATAGATATGATATTTATAAATAAATTAAATTAATGATAAGCAACCTATGATAACATTGGAATATCGCAGTATGAAAATCGCGTTGTTTTTTTTTAATTACCAACCGTGGTTATGGTTTTCAGATAATATAAAACTACAATTTCATTTATTTATTTATTCTGATGATTTTTTTGTGCGAAACATTAGCTGTTCTTCGTAGGTGTCTTCAGGAAAACTGATTTTGTTTCTTGGAAAGCTTGCAAACCCTGCGGGCCACCCTCTCGGCCGAGCCCCGACATCTTAAAACCTCCGAAGGGCGTCTGTGGTGTTATTATAAAATAACAGTTCACCCTGTGAAAAAAAAAAGCCAAAGAGATAATATTAAATAGGATGTTCGGTGGTTTATACAGAACAGTAGTTGTGGGATTCTTGCCATTCTGATCAATGGTAATTGTTATGTGCATAAGAATAATAAACGGATCAGAAGAGATCAGGCACAAGTAAATTCTTGATCTCTTTTATTGTTGGTTTATGTGGTTATGGTTTTATAATGTATTGAAACTTTTGGCATTAAATTATGCTGAAGAAAACTTCAAGGTAAGTCCGTAGTAAAAAATTTGCATTTCTGTTTTTTTTTTTTCGAAAAACAAAGGAATGGTAATAACATCGAAACTAGGACATTACAGGAGTTTCAAACCCTATAATCTGCACGCAATGGCCAAACCTGGCCTCCGTAAATAAATCAGAACCGGAGATATAAAATAAAACATTCGGAAAGTTTTTTTTTTCAATTGCATCCTTATTTTTCTCAATAATAACCAATAATAATTACTTATAATAACCAAAAAACAACATTTTTTGTACGTAGACTTGAACAACAAACATAATAAACACACAACTTCAGCTGTACTACGGTGGATGATGGATAAAATCAAAAGGAGTATGAATTTTTAAGTGAAACCACGAACATCTAAGAGAAAAAAGAGCTCCGATTGATCGAGCTCAACAATGTTTATTTTGTGTTTGCTATAAAAATTCGCATTCAAGGGTGTTAAAGAGTGCTTAAAATGAATCCGATTTTTTTTCTTTTTTTTAACGAGGGTTCGCAACAGCAGAGGTTATATCAACCTTCGGGGTGCCGGTGTTTTAAAAGAAAAGCCCATTTGTAAGTATGTCGAGTTGGAATGCAGAGCCGCTGGATTTGAACCCGGGACCTTTACCTTACAGTGATGAGCGCCGTGTCAACGCCTAAACCATTGCGGCCACCGACGCCCCTTAAAGTACGTTGATATACAGGGTATCAAATAACTAGTCCCCCCTGGTTTTCTCAAAAACTAAACCTAGAAAAAAATATGTTTTCTATTTTTTAAGAAAGTTAAGTTAAGAAATGAAATTTTTTGTTACCCTACATTTTGATATTGGGATTCATCAAGTTAATTCGATTTTATGAAAAATGGCGAAAACTATTTGAAAATCGGCTCATAAAAACGTTAGGTATCTTAAAAATAACATGATAAATCACATAATGAAAAAAAAATCGCCTCTGTTTTTCCATACTATCTTTGTAGTTGTCTTTTTCTATACAAATGTTTCTCTGTTTTATGTTTTTGTAAAAATGTTCTGTTTTATAAAAATGTAAAATGTTTCTATAAATAATTCTATATAATAAAGCAATTTAAATAAAACCATTTATTAGATCTTATTAAAAAAAAAGAGAAAACATTGTGTACAATCCATTATATTTCGTGGACCGATTGACCAAATAATTATTTCAATTAATTAATCTTTATGTAAGGTATTGGTTAAAATGAAATGTTGTAATATTTTGTATAAAATGACTGAATCAATGATTTTACAAAAATTTCACTCACGATTATACTCGTATAAATTTTATTATTATTATTATTATTCATAATTTATTATTTATGGTTTATGTTATATTGTAAATGAAGGAAAACTTAGAACTGTTGTAATAAATAAATAATTTCATTTTTTTATTGTGTTTCAACGAAATTTACTGTAATTATCTTTATTATTTTTTAATTTAAATAAATTGTTATGAAAGTGCTTTAATTCAAATAAAAAATATAAAGAAAAATGAATTTTTAGCTTAAAAACAATGACGAAGTTTCTTTTGCAGTTTCTGATTAAACGTGTTATTTTTGCAATATATAACATTTTATAAATTTAATTTCAAACGGTTTTCCCCATTTTCATAAAATCGAATCAACTTGGTTAAGCCCAAATGAAAATGTAAATTAGCATTGATAAAACAAACTATCTATTTAACTTTTTGAAGTTCTCCCCTTTAACTACTACCTGATCGTAAAATCTACCTAACCGACAGCTACTTTGAATTCATCAGTGGCTCCATTCTATCCGCCGGCTATCGCACTGATGCAAAGGCACCATAAGGAAGTACCTTAGGTCTCAACCTCCACACAATACCGCCGACAAGCTTACTCTTTCTTGCCACATATCTGAATCACACCGCCATCCGTTTCTCATAAAGATCCTGTCATCTCAAGCGGAAACCTGCAAACCTATGTCACGGGGCCGCTTTCACCCCTCGTAGAACATCAGACGCTTCCATCTAGTACAATAGTATCCCTCGCTAATGTGGTCTGCTGTCTTGGGCTGTACATTGACAAACGACGTACATTGAACCCTCACCCACGTGTCGAAAGTTAAGAAGTAAACAGACGCTTCAGACGTCTTAAAAAATTGCTGGACCAACGATCAAAACTGACTTCAAAATCAACGACTCATTAATATAACTATTTTGACGCCCATTTGGTCATATGGCATCGAATTTTGGGTTCAACTAAACGTTCCAACCTCCAACGTCTAATCCCTACAATCCAAAATCCTCAGAACCAATGTATGCTGCTTTGTAATATAATGTAATCCAATGCAACTTTGTATGTAACCGATCTGTCCCTGAAGTTGCGACAAACTCCCACAAGAAGTTACACAAACACAACCAGTCACACAAACTCTCAGGTCTGAAACCATTCATCCCGCACCCTTCCAAGTAATCACCCCCGATGGCTGAAGCATCGCGACCTCCTATGACATGGAAAATGATTAAAGCTAATATATACTAGTGACTGTTAATGAGAGTTGCTCTTTTTTCTTGTTTGTGCATATTTTTGTGTTAATTTATCGCGCTCTAAGATGTTTTCGAATTTACTTAAGAGCAGAAATTGACTCCTTAAATTTTTTTTAGGTTAAGTAGTTTTTGAGAAAACATGGAGGACACTAGTGATTTGATACTTTGTATAGTAAATGCATCAATTTTTTTCTTGTTTCCTAGGGTTTACTAAACTTCAAACCTAGATAACATTCGAGAAATTTCCTTAACTATCATATTATTATTAATCATGACCTATAAAATGTGCGTGTGCATGGAAAAGCTTACAAGTGGCTTTACAGAAGAATGCCCGGATTATGCAGTACGAAGGAGTTTCAAGTTCATTTCCTATTCCTGGCAACTCTTCGGGACCGGTTTCGGCAACTAAGGTCATTCCAGTCTCTCGTGAGGTCCATTGAGTACATGTGAACGAATACGATTTAAAATGACATCTATGAAGTTGTTTGAACTTTGTCGATCGTCAAATGATCAACTATTTTCACCTTAGCGTACATTGATTCATCGTGTAAAAAGTCTTCAATTTTGTTATATTATCATCGTTAGAGCGAAATATATTATTAAATTATAAACGACTTTAGTGAGAAAGTGCCATCATGGGATTTTCCACATTCTCCTATGAAAAGAGGTAGAACGTCGCTGAGTAAAACACACCGATGAACAACCTGCATGCAAGTTGACTTGTTGCTTTGTATTATTCAAGGTGATCATAGATTTTGCATTTTAAAACTTCATATAATTTATTGATCTGGATAATATAAAATTCAGGGTCAATGGAAAATTATTAGGACGTAAACAATTTTAAGAAGTATACATTAACTATAATTTTGACCAATATATCTAATATATGTACTAGATAATCCTAAAAATTGTTTTTGCATTTTCCATTTTTTTATGGTGTTAATGATCAATTATTGAGGCACAACACTCTCCTATATAATTCTATTACCTGTAGTGTGAGATTTGGTGGTTCCCGATCATTTTGGTCTGTGGTAGCAGTTTTAGACAGATGCGTTTCGGCTTCTCGTCAACTTCAGGGGTGGGTTTTGACAAAAATTGTTTTTAAAAACTAACGATGGCGAGAAGCTAAACCGTATCTGACAGACCAAAACGGCTTGACAGATGGAAAAATGTTCAGAAACGACCAAGATTTCACCAATGTCCAGGATTTTCAAAACTTCCAGCTTATTTTTCAACTTACAATTAGAGGTGAATAAATCACTTGATCATGTAATCTATAATGGATTAATTTTTTAACCCGATTTGTTTATTGCTTTTCGGCTTATCGAATTTCTGCTAATTCGACAAGGGTTCGGTAAAATTATTTCTTATTGGTTAATTTTTTTCTTCAATCACACAGGATTGCACACTGTATATTAATAAATGTATTAATAATATCTTACCAAACAGATCCAGCTCTGAGACCTTGTACAATGGTGTTGATCTCGTCGACGTTGGTTCCGAAGATGGAGGAAGCCAGTCCAAACTCTGAGTTGTTCGCCCTTTCGATGACCTCGTCGACAGTCTTGAACGACGTTACCTGCTGCACAGGTCCAAAAATCTGAGGGATTAAATAAAAAGCTAAATAAATAACATCTCGCAGTTTACAATAAGAAATAAGAAAAAGGGTGAGAAAACGGGAAAATACAATTCAATAAATAAGGTTTGGCGTGTCTACATCTGAAAGAAAATTCATTCATCAGGCTCGAGATGTAAACCTCAGAACCTTAATCTAAGATTTAAATAATACTGTAGCTATAAAAATAGATAAAATAAAATAATGCGTGTGCCAATGAAACTTAAATGGATTGTTTCAACTTATCGCGTCCTAAAACAAGCAACGTTAGCGTTCTTACGTTCAAGTCTTCACTGCCTTGTGAAGGGAATAATTTATTAATCAAAGCTTACCTCTTCTCTGCTAATGGTCATTTCATCCTTAACGTTTGTGAATAAAGTAGGCTCGACGTAAAATCCCGGCCGGTCGATTCGGTTTCCACCAACTTCGACGTGTCCACCTTCTTTTTTGCCTATTTCGATGTATTTCATCACGACGTCCAATTGATCTTGTGTCGCCTGAGTTTGAAATTTGTTATTGTTTGTTTCATATAAGCTTTACGTTTTGACTTACTTGTGGTCCGTGGTCGACGTCTAAATCAAAAGGGTTTCCGATCCGTCTCGCTTTGATCCTTGCCTTGCTCTTTTCGACGAACTCATCGTACAATGATTCGTGCACGAACGTCCTGGACCCAGCGCAGCAGCATTGACCCTTGAAGAAATGTTTATTAATTTTTAAATATTTGAATGATCCATAAATTACCCTACCATGTTGTGGAATGCAGCATAGTGTGCGTGTTCGACTGCTTCGTCGATGTTTGCCCCTTTCAAGATTATATTTGGAGATTTTCCCCCGAGTTCCAACGTCAGTCTTTTCATGTTGAGTGCGCCCTTTTCGTAAATTTTTTGACCGACCTGAAAGAAACAGGAAGTTAATTGAAGATATTTACTTTTGTATATACGACATTTACAGGTGTCGAGCCGGTGAAAGAGATTTTATTGATTTCAGGGTGTTCGGCGATTGCACTTCCTACGTCGCTGAATCCAGGGACGATGTTTACTACCCCAGGAGGTATACCTGCTTCTTTAACCAGCTCACCGAGATGCAGGGCTGCCAAACAAGTATGCTGTGACGGCTTCAAGACCATCGTGCATCCTAAACAACCCTTTATTAATGTTTTTTCCCTTATTTTACATGGCGGACAATACCTGCCGCGATGGCCGGTGCCAATTTCCAGGTAATCATGAGCAGCGAAAAGTTCCAGGCGGTTATGAGGCCGCAAATGCCCACAGGCTCCTGCCTAGTGTAAGCCATGAAGTTGCCGTCAATTTGTGCAGTGATCCCGTTGCCTTTATCAGCCATTCCTGCGAAATACCTCAAATTCCTCACAGCCCACGGCAGATCTCCTTTCAGAGTAGGTACGTAAACTTTTCCGCATTCGAGCGCTTCCAGGCTCTGCAAGTTTTATTTTATAAAAAATTCCTATAATACAAATCTTTATTGAAAACTTACAGAAAGTAAAACAGAGTCCCTTTCTAGAAGTTCGGCTAGTTTATAGATGAGTTTTCCTCTTTTCGCAGCGTCCAATTTCCGCCAGGGTGATCCCAGTTTGAAAGCCTCTTTCGCCGCTTCGACCGCGACGTCAACATCTTCCTGTTGATAAAATTCAAAAATTTTAGCTTTTCAATTGGCTTTAATTTTGTTTAACAATCACCTTAGATCCTCTCTGCAGCTGGGTTATTACTTCCCCGGTAGCAGGGTTTACAGTGTCGAAGGTCTTCCCTGACTTAGATTCAACCCATTCGTTATTTATAAAAAGCTGCAACCATAAAAATGTAAGATTGACACTATCATGAATCTTAATACATATTGCGATTCAGAAAAATAGCAATTTTTAATCTGACTTATCAAATAAACTAACACGAATTAGTAATTACGGTCAATGTTCCACAAATGACTTGAACTTAATTCATTAATCAAAGTGCTACTATAAAAAGTAAAAAGATACTTCAGTTCATTAATAAAACCATCTACTTCCAAACAATCGAGTACAAAGGAGTGGCAACAGATCGTTTATTGAATAACATTGGTGAGTTTTGAGGTCGTCGATCTCTCTGTGGATAATCGTTCAATGTGAACTTTGCCATCCGGTTTTTACCATTTAATATTGTTTAGTTTTGTTTTTCTGCTTGTCCACGCACAAACAATTCGTATGGGTTTTTCTACTGGCTAATGGGACGATTGTACTGAATCTACAATTGATTTAATGATCGTTTAAACAGTACTTCGACGTGGGTCCTCGGGATTTAGCATAACAGTTTAGTTGAAACCTTTACAGGAAAACAAAATAAAAATAGAAAATTGCACGTGTACAAAGATAAAATGAGCAGGTTAAACGCATGTAAACCCTTTTTAGTAAATTTCATAACAAACTAAAAATTGGAAGGAATTGAAACAATCTTACAAAATCTGGCACTATTTATTTTATTATTATTTTTATTTTTATGAAAGCTTATCTTAACTGTTCAAGAAAATTGGTTCATTTCGTTAATCAGGGTCAGAGATTATTTAGGAAGTGATCATGGTCAGCGTATAGCATGAAGTAAGAAAAAATGCAATATCTGTTAGACTGAAAGGTTCACTAGATGACTCAAAAATTTGAACAATTTAAGGTAAATTGCAAAAACGAATTCAATTTCGATTTTTATTTACGTTTTGTTCGAAAACAATGCAAAATAGTAGCAATTTCTCGACAGTTCTTATTGATTACTATATGGGAGTAAGAAAGAGATGTGAGAGAGAGAGAGAGAAAGAGAGAGAGAGAGAGAGAGAGAGTGAGAGAGAGAGAGGGAGAAAGAGAAAGAAAAAAAATACATAGAATTGCTAAAATTTTATCTGATCAATCAATGGCATTATGAAATAAAATACTTGAGAGGTACTACCTGGCCTGCTCCTCGTTGTTCAAGCATCAGTTTTCTTCCTATAGGTATATGCACTTTTTCTGTCAATATTGACTTTTTAGATTCGTGAAGAATAACAATATCGTTTTTTAATACGGAAAAAGTGGAGGAATTGTCTAGAAAGAGGAAGTAGTATGTAATTAATTGCAGTTAATCTACAATAGTAGTAGGCTTGAGGTACGCCCTTTTAGCACGTCTGAGTATGCTCTCAGCTAAATGTATTTTCGGAATGCCAAAATAAATTAGTTAGTTAATAGTATTTTAAAATTTAATAAATTTAAAATTGGAGATTTAGGGGTAATGGCGTTGACACTGCGCTCATTATTGTAAAGTAGAGGTCCCAGGTTCGAATCCAGCGGTCCTAAATTCGAACCTAACGTATTTACAAATGGGCTTACCCACGTTTAAAAAAAGTTGAAATTTTCAGGTTGGTAAAGTAGATTATAAATAATACGTTCGTAGTACGCTTATTTTCGAATTTATGGTAACGCATTGTTTGTGAAATATTCCTATTTCGAAAGAGGCGATATCGTCTAGCATACAAATCACCGTTTTAACATAAATTCAGCCTTTTCTAAGGGTCAACCGATAAACTATCTTAAGAGAAAAGTTATTTGCAATGAAAAAAAAAACCTGTTTAACCTTATCATATTCTTTGAAAATGACTGGAATAAAGAACAATATCTATTGACAAAAAGAGTATATAATCTATTTTGTAAAAAGAAAAAACTAATATAAAAAATTGTATGTAAAAACAAACTAATGTAATGTTGGATATCGATCAACTATTATATATTTTACCACAATAGATTAAAAAACCATCCCTGAACAATAACGCATTTTTTTAGAAAACCTGTAATATTAAATATATTTTTTTTAAATATGATACAATTTCAAAAAATGGCAATTTTTGAATATTTAGCTTTAAAATGATATGTCAGATTTTATCTGGATTATTCCCTTGTAGCCTACATATTTCAAACTCCAGAGTTTTAGCCGCACATATTGTTTTTCTTTCAGAATTTAGCCCAGCTTATCAAGAAAAAATTGAGGAAACGACAGAAACAGTGAAAAATCACTAAAATGTTGTTCAAATTGATTCAATTAGTCTGTAACTGGCTATCTTTCCGTCAGCAATTCAATCAAAGCTACGAAACATGGTTGAAAGTTAAATAAAATTGTAATTATTGTTATATGTAAGTTCTTCGAAGTAGTTTTCTAAGTTTTAATTTTAGTAAGAAAATTTAATTTTACTCAATAGTGAAAATTTTTCAAGTCTTAAAAAACACTCGTTAATTAAAATGGAATATGTTCAGAATAATTGTGTAACAAATTTAAAACAATACCAATTAATATCATAATTATTAAAATTACGTTCTATAAAATAGTTTTTTAACTTTTTATTTTAAGAAATAAATTTTAATTTTGCTCAATAGAGACAGTTTTTCAAATCTTAAAAAACACAGGTTAAATAGAATGGAATGTGTTCAGAATATTTTGGTAAAAATGTTTTATTTTCTTCATTAATTTTAAACTTTAATTTACAGTGGCCTTAGCGATTATTTCAAATCTTAAAAAACACGTTAAACAAAATACAATGTTTTCCAAAACTGTGTGATAATGTTGCCTTTCCTTGATTAATTTTAAACTTTAATTTACAAAGGCCATGGTGATTATTTCAAATCTAAAAAAAAACACTGCTGAAAGAAAATGGAATGTTTTTAGAATAATATATAAAAATGTTACATTTGATTAATTTTAAACTTTAATTTATAACGGTCTTAGCGATTACTTCAAATCTTAAAAAACCACTCGTTAAATAAAATGGAACGTTTTTAGAATAAAGTGTGAAAATGTTAGATTTTCTTGATTAATTTGAAACTTTAATTTACAGATGGTCTTAGCGATTATTTCAAATCTTAAAAAAAAACACTCGTTAAACAAAATACAATATTTTACAATACTGTGTTATAATGTTACATTTCCTTGATTAATTTTAAACTTAAATTTACAATGACCATAGTGATTATTTCAAATCTTAAAAAGCCCTCGTTAAATAAATTCGAATGAATTTAGAATATTTTTCTAAAAATGGTATATTTCCTTCATTATTTTTAAACTTTAATTTATGATGGGCTTAGTGATTTTTTTCAAATCTAACAAAAAAAGGCTAAAAAATGGAATGCTTTTAGAATAATATAAGAAAATGTTGCATTTGATTGATTTTAAACTTTAATTGACAATAGCCTTAGCGACTATTTCAAATCATAAAACAAACACTTGTTAACTAAATTAGAATGTTTTTATAATAATGAGGGAAAATGTTACATTTCCTTGATTTATTTTAAAATTTAAACTTAGTAATTTTTTCAAATCGTAAAAAGACACTAGTGAAATAAAATGGATTGTTTTAGGATAATTGTATAAGACTGACTATATATATTTCCGACTGACTATATATATTATACGACATATATATTTCCTTGATTAATTTTATATTTTCATTTACAATGCTAAGTAAATATTTTATGGTCAAAAATCACGACTGAAACCGATTTAAATTAAATAATAAAGGTAAGATTTTTGAATTAAATTAAAAATGACCTTAGTGCATGGTAGTTTCGGCGTCCTGTGTGGCTCAGGGATCTGCGAGGCGAGAAACCTTTGCTGCAAAGTTTGTTTGACGGTCTGTGGGACCCTGAGCACCGTCTTGTACATGTTTGACCCTTATCTTCTGAACTGGGCTAAGCCAAAAGCTTTTTACTTATATAAACTCCGTCTCCCACCTTTTACTTAAAAAAGGGGTGATATGATATTTTTTTCGGTCGTTGGGACAGTTTGTAAAAGAAAATTAGGTTTTCATGAAATAGTACACTTTCACAAAATGAATATCTAAATTTGAAACGTTTCAAAACGGTTCTGTTTACATATTTACCTACTAGAAAAAATTCTGAAAGACATTATTCTATTAATAACAAACCTGTAGCATTATGCCAAATATAAGAATAAAATTACTGTAAAAATATTCAATAATAAAGAATGTCGAATTACAATTTGCAAAGTAGGAACAAACCCCTCCATCATTCAGTAGGTCAATTTTCTTCTCTCTTTTTTTGTAAAAAAAAAGCGATATCAATGATACATCCTATTACAGAGGAATCTCGTGCATAGACAGTATCGTCAAGATTTTTTCTGGGCTTTTACTTCGTCGGTTGGAAGTGTTCGTCACCTCTAATGAACATCTTTGGGAATCTCAAGCTGGTTTTTGACGAGGGTACTCAACAATAGATAACATTTTTGTTTTACTTAATATCATAAAATTAAGATTGATGAAAAGAAGACAAAAACTCTATTGCTTCTTTGTCGATTTTAAGGCAGCTTTTGATCGTGTGGACAGGCAAGCACTGATATTAAAACTTTATAAACTTGGCATATCTTCTAAATTAATCCATATAATTAAGTCCGTTTATGACAAAGCATCTCATCAGTGCGGGGGAAAACAGGCGTTTCAGACTAGTTTCACGTGGCATCAGGCGTAAGGCAGGGCTGTATTCTTAGACCCCTTCTCTTCTCTATTTTTGTTGATGATTTACCTACCTATTTGAATGCAGGAAACAAGGTTAGTAGCTCGTATGTAAAAGCCCTCATTTACGCAGACGATATGGTCTTGCTTGCGGATAACGTTTCCTCTCTACAACAAAATATTAATAGCCTGGCGAAATACTGCGACATATGGAACCTAACCGGTAATTTACAAAAACTGAAATTGTTTTTAGGAGAGGAGGCAGACTAGCCTCGAAAGAAAAATGGAATGGTAAAGGAACTCCTATCGAAGTAGTAAATCAGTACAATTACCTCGGTGTGACGCTAACTTCCTATTTGTCGCTCAATACTCACTTTGTGCAAAACGTCTCGGCAGCAAAATTTGCGCTTAATACGATGTGTCCTGGGTTCATGATGCATGATCTGGTCCATTTATTTTCCAAATATAAAGTGGTTAATGCGGTTTGCCGTTCCATTCTCACGTACGGATGTCAAGTTTGGGGTTTTCAACCTTAGGATCAGTTGGAAAAATCATTGAGATGATTCATCAAGCAGTTGTTTGATCCCTTATTTCTGCACACGTTAAACTCCATTTTATATGGTACAAAACCCTAAAATTCTCTGGTCACCGCTACACGCAAATTACATCTTAGGAGATAATAAATAAAAATATTTTCTGGTATGAGCACTGGAGTTCCTTGCCAGATAGATATCCTTTTTTTCGATTCTCTCGAGACAACACTTCCGATTGGATGGCAGAATTCGAGAGCATTCTTTCCAATATAAGGTCTAGCGATAAGAAGAGGTTTTTGGAGCAAACGTTGACAACAGAGAGGTTTCTTTTGTACGAGAAGCTTGACCGAAATCTCTATGTGTTCTGCTTGACGAATTAGAAACATGGAAGAACACAACAACTGAGGGATCTCGGCTGGCTTTTCAAACTCCGAGGAGAACTTCTGTTCCTTAACTTTCTACCCTCTTGATAAGCTGCCAGAGGGATACAGAAATGTGCTTTCTGTGCAATACAAGGCAAAAGGAAACCATAGTGCACTTTTTTGCTAAATGTACAATTTTGTCCGAGATGCGTGCTTCTTATTTGAGTAGTGCTACAATCTCGAAAGGAAGCCATTCAAATTTTTAAATGAGGTATTACCGCTGGGAACTGGTGCAAGAGTTATAGTTTTAATTTATTGGAAAAAAGTTTTACTTAAATTAATGGTATATCTTGGTCTGTGGTCACCAGATTATTTTATTTTTACTTTTATTATTATTTATATATTATTTAAAAAAATTTTTTTTTTTGGTTTTTGTTTTCTTTTTCTTTCTAATTATGTTATAAAACACAGGGAATATTATTATATTTTATTGGCTATTTTATTATCCTTTTTAAATATTTTATCAGTAATCTCGACTCCAAGCAGATGGATATTCCATTGCTGTAAATACTTATGTTTTTTTAATATGGTATATAATTGTCAAATAAAGTATTATTATTAAATTCATTAGATTTCGTGGTCCGATTAACCAAATAATATCTTTCAGTTAATTAATCTTTATGTAAGACATTGGTGGAAATGAAAAAGTCAGTGTTACGAGCGGGATTCGAACCCACGACCTTCGGCTAAATACGCCGCTGCTCTACCACTTGTGCTATCGTAACTTCGATCCACTCGGACGCCAACTTCCCATCTCCACCCAACCTTTCGAATTTGCAACGTTGCAACGAAAGTGTGAAAACCTAGATTCATCGAAGTAAAGACTATTTATGTGTGAACAAACAAGGTCTTAAATTTTCTGGGTTATAAAAGTTTATTAAAGATGTCAATTAAAAAAACTGGTTCGAATCGTTATTATACGTTATTATCTTTTGGCTCATTTCAAAATCAAATGTTACCATCCCGTCAGGGCCAAAATTACCAATTAGTGCACAAATTTACGATTTATGAGTTCTAATAATTATTTTTGTTCATGGTAATGAAATAATTTGGGCTTTATCTCTTTACGTTTTAGATTCGTGTCACCTGGTTAGCAGATCTAACAGACTTAAAGAGCTTTTCCAAGATAGAATTTTTCAATCGGATCTGTTAATTTTTTTAAATCCCTTCTATTAATTATTTTGGAACACGCTCATCAGTCCTTGGCCGACTGCGGCCAGTTGGGAAAAACTCATGAGCAAACATCTAATTGGCTTGTCATTAGGCAAATTTCTTCCAATTGGAATTGCAAAACTTAAATAATACACTTTGACGCTGTTAGCAGATGTGTCAGTGATTCGGTTTAATTGGCTCTAAAAACTTGGTGATTACTATTGGCTTATTTAATTTATATTAATTTAGTACTAGAGGAAGAACTTGATTCACTTTGGCCAATGATTTTAATACCCCATTTATTCAATTATCACAAATTAATATTGTATAACAACATAATAATATAAATATATTTTTTTTCTAACGATAAAAAATATACAACTACAAAATAATTTGTGCATATATTGAGAGAGAGAGAGAGAGAGAGAGAGAGAGAGAGAGAGTCAGAGAGAGACAGAGAGAGACAGACAAAGAGACAGAGAGAGGGAGAGAGAGACAGTGAGAGACAGAGAGACAGAGAGAGGGAGAGAGACAGAGAGAGACAGAGAGAGGGATTGAGACAGAGAGAGGGAGAGAGACAGAGAGACAAAGAGAGACAGAGAGACAGAGAGAGGGAGAGAGACAGTGAGAGACAGAGAGATAGAGAGAGGGAGAGAGACAGAGAGAGACAGAGAGAGAGAGACAAAGAGAGACAGAGATAGAGAGAGACAGAGAGCGAGAGAGCGAGAGTGAGAGAGAGCTGTTAAAGTAGAGAAATTTTTATAAGCAACATATTATTAAAATAATTATTTAAAAGATTACATAAAAACTGTATGCTGCTGCCAGTAATTTGTGCTAATCTGTTTTTGTTTATTTTTGTAACGAACAACAAAAACAACCAAACAAAGCGTTTAAAAAAAATCTTACTGATGCCAAAAAAGACTAACATTAATTGTTTCTAATTTATAGACAACAACCAAACAAAACAAATTACCGTGTTGACTAACGGTCAAGTAAACAAAAAAATTAAATTACTGCATAAAAATAATCTTTCTTCTAAATAAAAAACCTCACAAGTAAAAATAAAAAATTAAATGTATAAAAACATTAATAACAATACGAAACGAACGAACTGTGCATTTTACACATCTAAACAAGTTAATTATTTTTCCATTGAGAATTTTTCCTCTATGTAAATTTTGTCAGGCGACCTTCATAAATGTCTTTTCCCCCTTTTCCTTATTTACATAGTTTCGTATTTGTGTCCATTTACCCGTAAATAAATCTGATATCACCTATATTTCTGTCTTGAAAATTAATTTATTAAACCTATATTTCTGTTGTCAAATATGCGAAACATTATTTTCATTATGTATTTGTTTAATTGTCACATTTACATTATACATAAATGCATTTTCATCGATTTACAATATCCATTAATATTAATGGAATCATTTGAATTCTACTACTGTCTACGTAATATTTTATGTTCATTTATGTTAATGATTTTTTGTAATGACAAAAAATAAACAATAATTTATTACAAATAAATACTTTTAAACTATACTTCTTTGCTGTCAAATACAAATTATACAAAATAATTTGCATTTCAACGATTAGAAAAGTTAGTATATTGATACTTTTTTTATACACATTAATTTTATTTACATTGATGCTAATTTCTTTATTTTGAGGTGGTGGAAGTCAATACGATCTCGGGAACATTATTAAGAAAATCATTACAATAAATGTTTTCAATTAGCTACTTAGAAAAAATTAAATAGCTATTCCGAATTACGGAACTTGGGAAAATTGGGTCACAAGGTCAGGGCGATAGTTTTTAATTCTATTTGGCTAGATCTCGTCTGACTGGTTGTTCCACTGGCAGGAAGTTGCGAAATAGTTATACGCGTATTTTCTAATTCAAAGGGAATAAATCCGATGACCGAAGGGTTAAATAATGAGATCAAGTGGCTGTTTACCGATTTTTTTAATATTTTATTTATTTATTTTTGTTTGGTAAAACTGTCACAATATTTTATTTTAAATGTAAAATTTAAGTTGCGTTTGGATTTATCCCATAATAATTCTATATAGCTTATGCTGTAGAATGTGGCTAACTATGAGCTTAATTCAGGAAGACTTTTTGTGTGAAAAATAAATTGGGTGGGGTTTAATTTTTTCTGTTAAGTATTAATATTTTAACATTAAGTATATATATTAATAATGCAATTATGCTTGCTAACGTATATAAAGACAAGACGAGCAAGTGATCAGTGCAATGATCATCTACCAGATTATTGATTTATCAATCGATATTTCAGATCGAAATATGCATAGAGTATTTAAAAAAGTACTATTACAAATAATACGAAAGGCGAAGTTTTCAAATAGTTTGATTTTTATAGCACCTCGTGGTCCGCCTGTTCTCGCCTTATCGCACGATCTGGATCGTCGTCGTCTTTTATTTCAAGGATCATCAACCTGACAAGAGATCTATTGACCGTCCAGCAACCCGCGTCAACAAATAAAGGACCAAATACGGCCGACCGTCCAGAATGGAAACTTGAACTTTTGACATTTCACGGAAGAATCCCCTGGGCCCGCGACTTCAGCAACAACTTATCACTTGCGACACGTTAGTGCCGGTGGATTTTCGAAATTCACAGTTGCGAAAAAAAAAATTTTTAACTTACAACTGTGCATTTTTACAAATAGCTGCAAACGCATAATCGTCGGTTCATTTAACAAAATCCTCAGCGAATGAATAATGATCGTTTTAAGATTTGAAAAGAAAAGAAGCTGATTTTTGTTACAAAAAATATTTTTAAGTTAATAACAATCAAATGAATATAAACAATACATTTTCTATGCGAGGTACACATCCGTGCAATAATATATTTATTATGGAATACAAATGACCATCCACAAGGTAGTTAGCTATGAGGCACAAAAACGAACTAGGTGATAGTAGATCTAAATAGTAGAAGAATGTAGCAAGAAAACGGGTTTTCTCACTACTACGTTGGGACTACGATTGTAAAAATCGGAAAAATGGACTTGTTAATTTTTATACACAAGAAAAATCTCCTCGCTACATACTTAAATTTAAAAATGGAGGTCGTTTTTAAAATTTTCGTTAAATTATCCAAAAAATGAATTCTGTACAGAAGCCTCTTAGCCAAACTGATAGCTTCTGTTGGCACAAACTTAGAAAATTTGAACATTAAAAGACCTAACAATTTCAAAAATTCGGAACGATATATTTCCTGGAGATTGAAAAATTCCACAATTCTTGCGTCATTAATAAGCTTTCAAATGGGATGCTTGTTAAGACAATTCTTGTCGCTTTTTAGCTACGTCAGAACATTTTTCTTCATGAAGTGCTCAACTATCACTTCTCCCTATTAAAATAAATCACATTGATCATGAGGAGTGTATGTGCAGCGTGCATTTCTGATCGTTACTCATGTTATAGGGGAATTATATAAGAATATAAAAACTCATCACAAACCAATCTTAAAAGAAAACCGGAATCTCTTAGGGTTAAGTTACCTCAAGCTCTTTGGTGAGTTACTTATTTTAAGTTACAAGTCAAGGTTAAATAATGATTATATTGAACTGTGATCATTTTGCAATGTAAATGTTCCATAAGGATTGGATTTCTCAGGCGTTCCATTCCTGCATCATCAAACCGTTGTAGACGCCATGTCTTCCTCCCTCGAGCTAGGCTGTTCCGTCACATTCTACGATGTGGTTCAGGCCTTTGATCTGGTGTGCCACCTGGCCTTGCTGTCACTGCTTAAGGTCATCCTCCCATCAGCCTGTTACCTGATCCTGAGGCTACTTCGATGACCGGTAGTTTGGTGTTAGCGAAGGAAATATTTCATAATACTATCCTATCGATTTCGGTGTCCCACAAGGTAGTTTGTTAGCCCTGTCCCTGACACTTCTTTTCTTGCCTTTGCTGATGACACACCAATTCTCTCCTCTCACACTTCTCTTAATCTGGAGGAACAACGTTATTTAATGGAACAGTACAGAGCTAAGGGAATTAAACTAAACATCAATATATTAAACCTTACTTTCACCCTCTACAATATACTGAAATAATATTCTTCTTACTACTGCAAACCACGTGCCATTCTTGGGAATGAATATATCTCGACGAAGTCCGCATATAAGAAGTAAAATGCTAGAAATGATGAGGATATCCCAAAGTCTTTTCAAAAGTACTTGACAAAAGATCAATTACATTCACTAACAAACACTAATGTACAATAGTATTTTAAAACTGATCTGGACTTATGGAGTGAAACTTTGGGGTAAGTTTGGCGTTCCGACATACAACGAATCAAAACATCCCAATCCAAAATCCTAGAAATATCCTAAATGCTCCCTTCTACGTATCGGATAAAACCAATCTCAACGATCCTATAGTACCCTCCGTGCGCTCTCTCTTTCTCTAGAACACAAGAACTCAAGAAGGTACAGGGGCAGGACTATCCTGGAATCAAATAGTCAGAATCCATGGGAAAATACACCAGAATCTTCCAAGCTGAGATTCATGCAATCGAGAGATGTACTCAACTCAAATTGACTAAAGGGTACAAAAACAAGAACGTAGCAATCATGTCAGATAGCCAAGCAGCCATCAAAGCACAAAGCTAAAATATCATTAGTTCAGAGATGGTGTTGAACTACAAAACCAAATATTAAACATATTAGTCACGCAGAATAAAGTCAGCCTCTGCTGGATCCCAGGACATGTTGGAGTAGAAGGCAACGAGAAAGCGGACACCCTTGCAAGGAAAGGAGCTGCTACACCGCTGATAGGACCTGAACCCTTTTGTGGCATAGGAACCCACACTATCAATGAGTATCTCAGACAGAAGGACAAAAAGAAAATGAAGAAACAAAGGAATTCACTCATTGGACACAGGCAATCTAAGAATCACCTAACAAACTTCGGAAGAAAAGAAATTACAGAATGTGTCAAAGGAAACAAGAATGAACTGCGAATCCTGATAGGATTCCTAACAGGACACTGCAAGCTAAATGGGCACTTAAAGAAGATTGGCATAATCCAAGACGGCACATGCAGATTGTGCAAAGAGGCAGAGGAGTCTACTGACAAACTGCGGTGCTATACTTGCCCGCAGGAGGAAGTGCTTTGGGATGTACTATGTGACCATTGAAACTGGGCCTATTAATCAAGTTCCTTGGTGAAATAGAACTCCCCGGTGTGCTTTAGGCACAGAACGGAGGAAACAATAGCTTTTAAAAGGTGCAGTATATTATACCCCGACTATTACATCTACATCTACATCTACCCCCCTTGCGCAATACCTTCCTACGAAGATATCGTAAGTTCCAAAAATCACTTGGTCATTAAACCCACTCATCGACAGCTCTCATCACGCCGAATCCCTACACAACTTCCAAGTAGGCTAAAGAGGAATGGCCCAGAGAACTCCTGTATATTGAAGATAGTGAAAGTGAATTGTAATGCAAGAAATTTGGAGTGATACCAATGGGTAGCATTTTTTCTGTTTCTTCCATTCTTGTTCACCATTGCTTGTTACCTAAAAGTGAGTAACTACTTGTAATATACAACCAAAATTTAAAAAAAAAGAAAGGGAGAAGGCTCTTATAATTGTTATGTGTATATCCACAATTCTCGGATTTCTTGTTTCGATACCTTTCTTTCTTATTTCTATACCTTAAAACATGCTGACAGATTGATATAAGCTGTACTAATTGTTCCCATTTAGGGATACCAAATATTTCTGGTAGTTCGGTGTGCTTAATAAACCATTTGAATCTGAATTCTTTCAGTACTGGGCATGTCCCCAAAAAGTGATACATTTTACACGTCTCCTCTGTTTCATAAAGCACAACACCTCCTTTCATCTCCATTTGCACAGTTATTATTCCCCAGCAATTCATGTCTTGATTTTAAAATAACTGACATAAATAGCAAACCATTTGCATCAGTTATATATTAGCGCGCACTATATAAATGTATACAAATATCTTTTGAACTGAGATGAAACATTGATTGCCTTCCTTGTTCTAAATCTTTATTCACTATTCGAACTCGGGACCTTTACCTTACAGTGATGAACGCCATGTCAACGCCAAATGTTTGATGAAAGTTGATTCTTAAAATGTAAAATTCAGAGGAAGTCGGTTTATTATACCACTGAGGGTTTGATATTCCCACCCCCATTTCATTAACAATATGTCCTAAATATTAAACTGTCAAAGTAGATAACGGCGTAAATCATTAGAAATTGTTTGAAAATCCTGATGAAGGGTATATATTCATAGAAAGTTTCGACAAAGGTACTGATTTTCTTTCTTCCTAATTCGCCTGATCCATGTTTTTTACATTAAACATTATTAACACAGTTAAATGTTATTTAAATAGCTTTTTAAAATATAAAATACTTACGTTCCGGTTACTTTGTTTTGATTCAAAGCGACTTCTTGCAATTGAGCTAAAAAGTGATTAATAAAGAAATAAATTCGTACGACGGGATTATTGTGTATATTTGTGCTTGTATATCCAAGGATACATTGCCGAGTTTTGGGTTTTGACAAATATTCCATACTGATCATGATTAAGGTACTAGAAGAAGAAATTTGTTAAACAAGCAAATAGCAATAAAATATATTGGTACTATAAAAAAGACCTGCGGCAATTCTTATTGAGTCTCCTCCATGGTTGGAGTGGAGTCTTAACCCACGTTTTCAATTTAAATTTTTTTACTGGATCAAATACAAACAGAGCCTAAGGAAAAAAGTAATAGACTCATTAGTTTTTTTCTCAATTTGGAAAATAATGTTTAATGATTTTGTTCCTTTCGTGACAATGCACGCCATTTGAAAAGAATATCTTTAAAAACAGTGAAGGTTATTTTGTTAATTGCTCTGTTGCGTGTATAACTGTGTTTTTTTATTTAGTTGACCAAAACGTATATATTTAAATGCTGAGTTTAAAAGAACGTCATTTATATCTGATTAGGAGAATCACGACTGCTTAAAATTGAAATGGGTTGCACGTCATTATCTTTGTTATCAAAGTTTTGTGACGTAGCAAAATTTGCTCCACTTTAGGCATAAAAAACTTTTCAATTAATTTACTTACTGTTCGGGATTTATGTGTTATTCCGAATTCAAAGAGGAAATCTTGTTCAAGGCGGAAATATAAATCTCAATGTTGTTTGTAAATTAAATATGGATAAGAATCTTATGAATCTAACCAAACTAATTAATAATATGGAAAAGCCAAATTAGCTGAAACAACCTTCATTAAACTTGCAAATGAAACTATGCTTTAAAATTATAAAGTAAATTTTGTACAATGATAATATATATTTTTATGCAAAAGTTTTTCAGTAATTCGATTTTATCCCTGCTGTGTGTTGAGCAATGTTTATTTAGTTATTATTGTCTACACATTCTTTAAAGGAAGTAGCTAAGGTGATTTTATTCACCAGTTTCGTTGGAATTCTCGTATTTTTATAAGGTGTTTAGCCAATTTAGATTGGAATAAAAAATAGACCCTCAGAGGGTTCTCGTCTCAGGTTTGAGCAGGAGACGAGGGATCGTCCTCACCCGACCGAGGATTGGCCATACGCGGTTGACACATGGCACCTGCTTTTGGGCCAAAGCCAGAGAAAGGTTGCTCGATGTGTCCCACATAATAGAGTCGTGTCATGCCTTGGCTCCATACAAAGAGCGTGTAGGCATGCCGCCGGACTTAAGAAGAGTTCTCGAACACGGGCGAGTTTCAGTCCCCTGTTCCGCTTTTTAGGGGAAATTTTGATTGTATATAATATGTCTTATGTGTTGTGTCTGTATATTTTGTCTGAGTGCATGTATTTATTAGCGTGAATGGCGAGGTGTGAGGGTGAAATATTACGTCATCATCGCCTCTCGAACGTTGAAAGCGTAAGAGTGTGTGTTCGGGGACGATGGCGAAATATTTATAAAAGTGCTCCATCGACCCCAATTTAGTTTAGTTTAAGAATAGATCGGTGGAGGAATATCAAGTACTCCACCGACCAAACGGAATGAGTACTATATGGATGTATTTAAGTGTATGAATGTAATGTTTGAAAGGGTATAGAATATAGAATACAGACTTAGTTTGGGGCTGAAATGACCTAGATGTCCGAAGCCCCAGTCAGAAAAAAAAATATAGAGCATTTTCGTAATTTCATTGCGTTTTATTACCTACTGCAAAGGGAAATATCGCAGATCAGACTGATAGGAAAATTTGTGATGTGTATCGTGATGACACTTTAGAATAATGCGGGTTAGTTTGCTCGGTTCATAAGCGGAAATTTTGATTTAGAAGACACAGTCTGTTGAACTTTACCTAACGATGACCACATTTAAGCTTTTATCGTAAATAAACCACACCCAACTACATGAAATCGCACAGACAATTAACATATATTGTATAAGTGTTTCTGGGAGCAGATGGATAATTTCCGGAGTGATGGGTTTCTCAAATGTTGACTTAGAGGAATTTATTAGACCTGATCTTTATCTGCAAATCTCTCCTAAAACGCAATGTCAACGACCCATTTTTAATAAGATAGATAAATGGGAATGAAAAACTCCTTTTCAGCAATGTTCCTGGGGGAAAATCCTGGGGAAAACTTAACGATCCACCGTTCAGTTCTTCAAAAGCCGGATTACAACCCCAAAAGGTAAAGTGGTATTGCTTTATTGTGAGTTTACCACACCAAACCAAACGCAGATTTCAGTATACTGGTTGTCCCAGCTAAAGATGATCCGCTGATAAATTTATCATTTTTATTGATATCAAAAATTTGCAACTATAAACCCCGTTAATTTCTCAACAGTATCTAGTCAAAAATTATATCTCCACGCATTGCGTATCTGCGCAAATATGCGCAATTGCCATCAACTTTCTTATTTTAAATAGAAAACCCTAATTTTTCTTACAGTTTTGATTTCTACCAAAAAATTTCAGGAAAAAATTATCGATTTTTTACGCCAAACAGAAGTCTCGCATAAAATGCGCACTGATGCGAAATTCGAAAATTGCGCATAAGCTATTTTAACGCGAATATCAAGTGTGGCACATGATTAAAAACTCTTTAATGCTGAATCATGAGGTACTATCAGTTTCTGTAATACGGTGCCAGATTTCAACATGAAAGAAATTCCCCGTTTTTGTAATTGTGTTTATTTATTAATTATACATCGATGTAAATAAATGAAAATTTTATTTCAAAAGTGTTGCACAGGCTTCAACAATTCTTTTTTTGAGTTCCTCACTGTTCGAAATAGGAGATAACTCAGCATTGTACACCTTGTACCTCAAGTAACCCCAGATATGAAAGTCCATAGGTGTCAAATCTGGTGAGCGTTAAAAAAATCTCTGGAAGAGTCAATTTTTTTCATGAAATATTTCGTAGAATTCATATCTGTAATAAAAATTAGGGGTTACTTTTTAAAATAAGAAGGTTGATTGCGCAAAAATATAATTTTTGAATAGAAACTGCTGAGCAATTAACGGGGGTTTACCGTTTCAACTGTTTGATATTACTATAAATGATAAATTTAAGACGGAGGTGTCATCAAATACTGGTACACCCTGTATACTGCACACTCTTGGCATAAGAAGGAAGATAGAAGGGGCGTAGATTGCCGCAACGGTTTAGGCGTTGACACTAAGGGAAAGGTCCAGGGTTCGAATCCAGCTGCCTTGTATTCAAACCCGACATATTTACAAATAGGCTAGATTAATACGATGTACTATCAATAATGATAATAATAATTTATATACTACAACATTGCTTGACTGAAAAAATATAGTGGAATCAAATGTTTGATATGTTGTTGATTCAATTTTTTTTAATAGTAACTCAAATTTTTATTGAACCATAAAAAACTGCTACTTACTTATGTTATGACCCAGTACTTTTATTATTTTAATTTTACCTATCAAATAATACTTATTTGTAATACTTGATATTTTAAAAAAAGTTCTAATATGAAACAACGTCAAGGTCCAAATCGATTTTACCTGTTTATAAAATATTTTAGTATATGTAAATTAAATACTACGATTACCTGAGATTCCAAAACCATAAATAAGCCATTTGACGTAAATTCATCTTTAATATATTTTTCCGATGAAATCATCATTTAAATGATCGTCCTTTGCATAAAAATTATATTAGAACCGTCTTTCTACGAATTCATGGTAATGTTATGAACAATTGATCTTGCTTTACAAACGTATGGTTTATTAAAATACCTTAATGCTTCCGATGTATTGGTTACAAAAATACTTGAATATTTTTTCTCGCCAAAAAGGCAGTTATTTTGGACATATTTTTTGTCCTTCCTTTTCCTTCCTTTGACGTATTTGACGTATAGAATGCGTTCCACCGGTCAGGACCACTCTGCGGTTTATCCTTTGCATTATACCTATGATTTTGAATAATTGCCGTTGCGACATAACAGGACGGGTGAACGCCCTTAGAAAGGTTCGCCTGTGCCGACTGCCGACACACCCAAAACGTTCAACAGTCTGGCCTAGACCTAGAAGTGTTTAAATATATATATACGACGTGGACGAAATGTGGAATGCACAGAAGACAAATTTTTCTGCAAAGAAAAAAGCAACAGCAATGTTTAAAACTTAAACAAAAAGTAATTCGGCAAACGACTGACGTCGAATCCTCACACACGGCTCAAACGTCAGGAAGTTATGACACGATATCGAGCTCTTGCACGACTTCTTGACGAACGTTCGTCTTTACCTCTCAAAAATAAAAGATTGCTTTTCAACACCATAGTTGAATGGAAGTTGGTATGGACTTCAGCCAAACATTCCAACATCCACCGGATTCAAACGATCCTTAATACTAAGAAAAATACTAGTTACTCCATTTTATGTATCGAACCTTTCGTTCAAGATGAAATCTGTTCCCATTACTGTAAATTTCATAAAAACCAATCAACTACCGTAAATCAGCACATGAGAAACCTCGCATCCCGACGAATACCCTCAAACCCTCCCCGCCGACTGAAGAGATGGCCTCGAGATCTCGTAGGAAGTGATGGTGATGATAGTGAAAGTGTTAATGACACAAATACGAATTAAAAAACAATATTTTAGTAACATTGGAGTGATACCAATGGGTGTTTTCTCCACTCTCGGTTTTAATTTTGTACATTTTACCTTGTTCCTTGTTACTTGTTACCTGTTACCTACTTGAAGGTAGTTGTAATGTACTTCAAATTATATATTAAAAAATCTAGAAAATCAGTCAACAATTAATTACATATGTTTATTTTAGATGAATTAGCCATTCTTCTAGTTTTGGTAAATCTACAATTTAACATGAGTATTGGAATTTTTATGTGTCAAGAGGTCAAAAATAAAGCCATGATATTTGTCAGATCCATCTGCTACCTATATTTAAGTTCAACATTTCATTAATTAATCTTCATGTAAGGTTAGGGGTGAGATAAAAAAGTCAGTGTCACGAGCGGGATTCGAACCCACGATCTTCGGCTAAATACGCCACTGCTCTATCACTTGAGCTATTTTGACTTCGACCACTCGGACACTAACCTACCACCTCAACCCAATCTCCTTTCCCTCCTTTTTGCCATTTGTCTCAACCCATGCCTTTCATAAAGATTAATTAATGTTAAAGATGTTATTTGGTCAGTCGGAAATCTAATGAAATTAATTTCAATATTCACCTATTTATTATTTATTTGTGCATGTCAATCCACATTTTTTGACACATGTACATTTGTCTACAGACTTGCCTACACTGTATTCTACCACATAAATAAACTTTCTATGTATTTGTATAAATATATCAAGGTATTTATCAGACGATGTATCAATGCATTTGCAACTATCTGTATTTTTGTATATTAGATCCTGTCAACATCTAGGTCAATTAATCACCCAAACACGCAGTTCCTAGATCCAAATGCATTCACACTCTCATTCATTGCATGCATTCTTTCCTATTTACATACTCAATTAGCGAGGAGGAGAACTCAATTTCCTCTATCACACAAATATATAACTAACCTAACTAGCCCTCACACTAATAAATACATTCACTCACAGAGACATGCTAGGTACATAAAACTATCATTATTACATTAGCTGTATGCTTATGCACGATTCTCATTTCCGGTGATAATCCTGCACGCTCTCTATATAGAGCCGAGGAGCTCCCTTCAATTAGGTGGGACACATCGAGCTACGTTTTTCATGACATTAACATACTCGGTCTTTGGCCGAAAAGCAAGTGTCCGTTGTCAACCTCGCATGACCTATGTTCAATTTGTTATCAAGTAAAATATTTACATACTGATTATACGAATATCGAATAAGATACGCTAACTTATAGCGTCTTGAAAGCCGGTAGTGGTTGTCTAGGTATCTGGACACTTCGGGTTGGAGGGCAAAGAACATGCAGACCTTACTATCTCGATCCGACCCGCTGATACTAAATGGGCAATAAGGAAAAGGTGTCAGAGTCTGAGTCATCCAAGAAGCTTTTGCGCGTCAAGAGAAGTGACTGGTAGAGTAGAGAGTAAACGGCAGAAGAAGGATCATTCTAACAGGACTCAGAATTGGCAATACGTGGTTGACACACGGAAACCTACTTTAGGGCGAAATCCCTTGTATATGACTAGAAAGGTTGCTCAATGTGTTCTAGTTAATTGAACAATGACATTCCTTTTCTCCATATAAGGAGCGAGTAGGCACGCCGCCCGATATGAGAATTTTATTCGAGTACGGCATCAAATTTCCTTTATCTTGATTTCTGGGGAAACTGAGGTAGTTCTTGATATACATTTTCTCCCCAGGTAATCTTATGATTGTTTGGTGATGCATGTTGTAACTGTTTAGTGAAAATGTATTTTTATGTGTAGTATTTGTGTGAAAGTTATGTAAATATGAATGGATTTATTTAAGAATGTGTTAAAGTGTGAGTGCCTTTATGTTCAATACTGCATGTTGTGGGCTGCAATAACCTTGTTGTAGATACACGTTGAGCGTACCTTCGTTGGTGGTTCGACTAAGATCAAGGTCTGACCTTTGCAAACGGCGTCAAGTCGTAGACTCGGTTCTGCACATGTGTGTACACAATATATGGGCAGAATTGATATTACATAAATAAAACAATCATAACAAGAAAAAACTGGAATTTCTCCAAGGCCGCTAAGGGTTTTCGATCACTACGGTGTTTTTATATGTTGTTACATCTTGAAACTAGCTTTTACACGCAACTTCGACCGGGACGTTATTTTAATGCACCTTAGTAATGAGATGGAAAGGGGGTAGTATGGATTTTTAATATAATGTCTAGATTCTCAAATTCTTCTATTCTTCAGTTCACATCGATCTATACATGGTAAAAAAGTTGTCCCAAAAAGTTTCAGCCATTTAAATCCAAAGCGGATTGGTCTTTGCGTTCTCTGTCAGTCATGACGAAATGTTTTATATTTATATATATATATATATATATATAGATGTGGAAGGAGTCCGTGTCTTTCATCATCTTTGATGGATTAAGACTGGGTTTGTCAGTTCATTTGTTTGTTTACAAGTTTTCAATTTCGTCTAATTGGTATCCTTTATGTATGACACATAGTCAAGTTTAGAGCTTCGTAGTATGATTTTTTTTATATTTCAACCTCGGTCATTCAAGTCCTTTCCATTAATCCTTTACTTTTTTCATCTCAGGATATTGTGTATAAATATAGGGTTAGTAGGGTTAGCTTGCCGATGTTTTGTCTCGGGATTTTCAAACAGCTATTTTTATACTCTAATAAGGTTTTTATATATAATTAGTTGAATCGAATCGTGAGTAGACAGGTCTTTTAACGAAGTATGTTTCTTTTTTTAACTACCTATACGTTTTTCATCGATGTGTAATACAAACACAAGTTCTCACCGTACGGAAGAAATAGTACTAAGCATAAAGAAAAATCACAAATTAAGTAAACAATTAATTCTGTTTTGGAGGTGTCATTCTATTTTTGTGTTTCTTTTGCGATATAGATTACTGCATCATTAATTGTGCCAAAAGGTATTCTAATTAACATATGTTTTAATCTAGGCAAAATTAAATTAAATATAAAAGCTGGATGATCACCATGGTTAAGACATTGATTTAAAAAACAAAAATCGAAGCTACAAAATGCTGGATCGGACAACGCTGTACAAATTAGGAGCTGCAATCGGTGCGTCAGCAATAATTTGTTACACCGGATACAGATTATATAAATACATTCTTTGGAGGAGAGAATTGAATGAATACCGCCTTCGAAAGAGGTTGGATGAGGAACGAGGCATCGACAGGACCTGTGAGCGAGGAAGTAAAACATTTGGAAGCCATGGGAATAGATCCAAAAGAAGAACATAGTAATATGTTTTAAATTTTAAAAACATTATCAAAATTCAAAATTATTTATCTATTTTCGACATTTCCCTTTACAACATTTATTGTAGAACTTTTATATAAATTGGCTTGTCAAAATTATTAGCACCAAATTGTTTTGATTATTAATTACCTTAACATTATGAACCTGTCGATGCCTCTACCTGATGAAATGATTAACACCTTTCTACCACGAATTAGACATTAAACGGATTGGACTATGCAATTTTCTCCATATTAACCAGATCTAATATGGTTTGGACGAAATGTGAGCTCATTTGAGCTTAGTACATCTAATCAGCATCCACAAAACTGAATGCCTCTTTTGACTACATGAGAAAAATTTGCCTCAACTGCGACTAGAACCACGAAATGGGCACTCCCAATTGTACCCCGCACGTATTAAACGGATCTAATATGGTTTGGACGAAATGTGACCTCATGTGTGTTTAGTACATCAAATCAGCACCCACAAAACTGAATGCTTCTTTTGACTACATAAGAACAACTTGCCCCAACTGCGATACAACCACCAAATGGACATTCCTAATTTACCCTGCCTTTACTAACCGGATCTAATATGGTTAGGACGAAATGTGACCTCATGTGTGCTTATTACATCTAATCAGCACCCACAAAACTGAATGCTTCTTTTGACTACATAAGAACATCTTGCCCCAACTGCGACTTCAACAACGAAATGGACATTCCCAATTGTACCCCGCCCATACTAACCGGATCTAATAAGGATTTGACGAAATGTGACCTCATGTGTGCTTATTACATCTAATCAGCACCCACAAAACTGAATGCCTCTTTTGACTACATGAGAACATCTTGCTTCAACTGCGACTACAACAACCAAATGGACACTCCCAATTGTACCCTGCCCATACTAAACGGATCTAATATGGTTTGGATTAAATTTGAGCTCATGTGAGCTTAGTACATCTAATCAGCACCCACAAAACTGAATGCCTTTTTGTCTACATGAGAACATGTTGCCTCAACTGCGTCAACAACCACTAACTGGACACTCCCCATCGTACCCTGCCCATATTAACCTGATTAATAAGGATGAGACGAAAGATGACCTAACGTGAACTTAATACTTATTAT